CATGGTAAGCAATCTGAACCGAATACATCAGAAATCTCAGCCCCTATTGTTGGATCCAGATTATGTGCCCGGAGTATGGCAAGTTGCCTTTGTAGTTGGCTTTGGTGATTTTAAACGATAAAATATAACAGATACAGGACAATGTAATTCATGGCTCATTTGGTTAGCTGTTGAACAGGCGATGGAAATCAATCGAACATTCCGTAGTGCTCGAAACGATCTGGTGGACGCGAAGCAGCAGGAGGGATACCTTTCATCGAAGGTTTAATAAACGTGATCCTACGTACAATCTTAGACGTAGCCTGGAAAGTAACAAATAATTGAAGATTGCCATGTTCCGCAATGGTAGCCTTATTCAAATATTCGATATCTACTACCTAGAAATCCAAACTGTAACAAAGCACATCATTTTACTTTCAATGGCGAATTTGACACTCGAGGGACTACGTGGTCTCTTCAATGCTGATGGCTTTTCCAATCAAACAAAGCTGATATCTTTGTGGAATGAGTTTGTGGTCACGGAAACGACCCGTCGAATTGCTTCCACTTCACCGTGAAAACTTATACCAACGTACACTGGAAGAATAAACATGTAACTTTCAGTACATCAGTGTGATAAAAATGACGGTAGTCGGCCCAAGCAGTGCAGGAAACTGAAGCGAACGTCTCATGGAAGCTTCATCCGCAAAGATATCTTTTTTTAACTCCCGTAGGAGCGCTTCAAATTTTCATTCTACCATGTCTCACGTATTCAAGAAGGGGTAATAACTGATGCTTCGATTTTCCGTTTGCCCATGGGAAGAATCAGTAACCGGCTTGTGCACCTTTTTCGCAAATCAAATTATAAACTAAATATGAGAATTTTTGTTTTAGAAAAAATTTATTCGTCGTAAACAGAAGACTTAGAATTGAATGGTACACGCAAATTTCAGAAACTTGAAATATAGAATTCCGTTTTTGGAATAGCTTTATTATTTTTTTTGATGTAATCCATGGCAAATAGAGAGAAAGCTGCAAAATGAAATTAGACGAACTTCTGGCATGCACCGGAAATAAGGTAAGTACTTCAGATTGAGACTCCAGTTGCTGTCGTATCGCGTTTCGTATCATTTAGCGAATCCAATCTAATCACGTTACATATTACAGTTTTGTGTGCAAAACAGCTTGTGGCATAATCAGTCCAATTTGAGTGAGATTGATTCTCGAACTGATTTTCTCCTTTCATGACCGCTTTTCCGTTGATCCTCGCTTTTAACAAAACCTTCTTGTATATAAATACCGGGTGGCTTTAAGTTTTATTCATCTGGGAAGATAGAAGAAATAATAACATCGCAGTACTTCTCTCCTTTCTAGTCCACCGAATAGGATCCACTAGACACAATTTTTCAGTGTACTAATTTGTATAAAATGAATCTGAGTAGGAAAATATTTTCTTTCGAAAACCTCGTCTTAAATAACTAAAACCACTTTGAATGCACCCAAAAAGTTTAGCAGAGCTTCACATCAAACCAAGAAAGGAAATATGGTCCGAAGAAGAGCTAGGATGAGTGCCAAACTGTTTTAACACGCACATCGCTTTCATGAGCAGTCAATGAATTGAGCTACGGAGCCACAAGAACTTGCTGCTCGGTTATGGAAATCGGCTCCCAAAGCTACGGGACTTACAGTTGTGCACGGCATTTAAGCCTGTGAAACAAAATGTGTAGCATTGAGCACGGAACACAACAATCGTTGTAACAAACAAACAGGTCAATAATTTGCTCGAGTGAAGAACACTTTGCGATTTAGCTGCTTGATTAAAACGTGTTGTTTCTAACAACCATGAAAAAATCTACTGAGGTTTTCTGTCCGTTTCTACGTTTTGGAACAACTATTGACGGTAGCCAACCATCCGAGGTAATCTCCGATTCTATCACTATTCCACAGGCGTCCAATTACAGAATGTGTATGTTAAAAACATGACGTTTGCATTAGTCTTTATAACAAAGCTCACATAGCTCAATGAATGTGCGCATGTTTTCAATATTGGCAGATTTCTCGGCCGGTGAACTGGCTAAGTTGGAGCTTGTACAACGTGCTGCCACTAGGCTCGTTGTTGGACTACGCGGGGCCAGCTATGAAGGTCGTCTACAGGCTACTGGTCTGTTTCCAATTGCGTATCGACGCCTCAGGGGAGATCTCATCTGCCTGAGGAAGATCCTGAGAGGTGATACGGGCCCGGAGCTGCAACAGCACTTCCCTTTACGGACAGAGCACCGCACGCGGGGGCACTCTCTCACGTTGCGGAAACTTCAGTCAGTTGGTCTTCCGTTAGTCTACCGACTCTCGCGTAGGTCAACAACACCCTGGAATTGTGTTGGAAGGGAAGACAGACGCTGCTTTCAAACGGTGTCTGGATGAGCACCTGAAGGGGTTATGGA